GTCGTTGCCGGAGTCGTCATGGTTGACGGCCCAGTTAAAGTCGTACTTGGCTTCACCTGACTCGAAGGACTCGAAGGATTCCTAATCAGAAAAATACACGTCGATTATTTATACATTCAACTTAAAGAATGCACAAGTAAATTGCTCGAATATATTCTTATGCAGCACCAATGACCATCTTCATTATGCTCATTCAGTACTACGTCAGGATGATTCATACTTACACTGCTGTCTGCGGCGACAATGGCTGCCAGGCCAAAGAGGAAAAGAACCTGTAACTAAAATATGAAAGTGAAGAAATTCCCAATATAATTTTGCACTTTCCAGTATTTAGAATATAATAACATGATAATGGTGGTAGCAATGATAGAGATTGTAATAATAATAACATGTACACAGTAATTCCTGCGTGTTATTTACCTTAGTGTTCATGTTGACTACAGTTACTTAGCGAGAAACTGATGACGTCGCTCAACCGCTGACCATTAAATACCATCCCGGCAACCCAACCGTTTTCGAAGGTCATCGAGTTTTTTGGAATTATTTCACGAGGGCGCGTCTGACCCCTTGCAGTTCAGTAGCGATTCGCAAAATTGCAGTGATTCGGAAAAAAAAAAACTGTATGTAATATATTAGATGATTCTGTTGATTGCTAAGCATAAGGCAAATATAACAGATATTAATGAGATAGTAAGAGTATTTTTGAAGCCAGCTTTAAAAGGTAGTTTTTGATATGTAAGCAGCATAGATGATTTTCTAGTGCCATATGCTACTGTCATAATGTAATGAAATGTTCCTTGCCGAAAACATTAAAAGAAAGGAGGATAGGCTTGATCCTTCCATTTCGGAATGGTAATATCAATATCAATATATATGTATACATATATATTTGTACATGTTTATGTATCTATTTATCTATATATGTATGTGTGTACCTATAAATACACACATATATGTTGGTGTGTGTCTATAAATAAATATATGCATAAATATATGTTTACGGATATATATACACACCTTGTTTATAATGTAAAAGCTCCATTTTGTACCTGTTCAGCTCCTCATCTCCTGTATTATAACAGTACATTCCTATATTTTCAAAATCTAATACCTACGTTATGAGGAAATAATAGAATTACCCAATTGCTCAAATGAAAGTAAACGGAATCAGATAGAAATAAAAATATAAGGTGAGATAAAATCCCGCACACGATACCATGGGATAAGTTATCAGGATGAAAACAAAGAGAGGAACGCGATTGTCATCGTAGTATTAGTAGTTCGGAGAATTTTAAAGATGACGCATATTGCGAATATAATTCAATAATAATTTCTACTGGCGGATGTTTCTAACTTTTCTGGATTAAACAGCGTGAATTGCTAAATTCAAATATGCACGAGTATCTCCTTTTCTGTGGACAGTTTTCTATATATTATTCTTGAAATCCTTTACCTTCCGTTACTAGATTGTGAAAAACGATTTGTACATCACACACCAAACGTGACTGGCTTCATAGAGAACATTACTTATTAATAACGGAAGTCTTTAGTGATGGTAATGATGTTATTATCATTTTTTTTTTATAATGATGATAAGAATGAGGAAAAAAAAAACATTAACAAAGGTGATAATAGTCATGATTTTAATGATAATTGAAATAATGTTGAAATTAATGAAAATAATAACTATGATATTAATGATAAAACTAATGACAATTATGGAGCTTAATCTGTTTGCAAAAGTCATAAATGGCAATTTGTAATAAAATGACAGGAGAAAACTAAAGCGGTAATTGGAAAAAGGTATATGCTGAAGCACATACAAAATTTCGTCTTTTAAATTCATATGTACACATGCAAAGTTGAAACTTTTTATATTATAAACCCCAGGAAGTGATAGGCTATTTTTACTATTTCAGTGATATTTTATCTTTCGTTTTACCATTTTTTTTTACGATCCTGCTGGTTATTTGCTCTCCAAGAAGCCTATGACGGCAACAACAGCCAAGAATCCTGTTACAGGAACCACCACCCCGACACCCGACATGGAGAAGGTTCAGTGCTGTGGATTCAAAAAGCTCACTTACGAATGTAAATACCTCCCTCGCCACCAGGCACACATATATGTATATATTAATTTGTACATCTCTCTACACACATAAGTATAGGTGTATATATTTATATATGTTGTAGTTGATTTATAGATATAACTTCTAATCGTATTTTGTAAACGTTGCATTGGACTTAACTTTTCTATATAAATTATTAACAAGAAATACCCAATAGTAGAATGACCTCTGACCGAAAACAATGAAAAAAATGACAAGACCTTTGTATTATAATATGCCTTTATTAATAAAATACATAACAACTATAACCAGACTAATTCTGTAACCGTTGGAGTCCATCGCAGTCGTATCGCACAGGGTGTGATATTTTATTTTGATTCGTTGGACTCATAGGAGTCGGGGTAACGAGCCTCGCCCTCGTAGTTGACCTCAGCCACGTAGCCGGAGTCGCCGTCCACGAAGTACTTGACGGTCTGCAGGCGGCCGTCGGGGAGCTGCACGTAGTAGGATCCCTGAGTGTGGTCGCCGTCACGGGCCTCCTGGTGGCCGAAGTCGTTGCCGGAGTCGTCATGGTTGACGGCCCAGTTGAAGTCGTACTTGGCCTCACCTGACTCGAAGGACTCGAAGGATTCCTAGTAAGAAAATTATACGTAAAAATAGTCATGTACTTTTAGGGATAACAGCATTAATAAAAAAAAAAAAAAAAAAAAAAAAAAAAAAAAAAAAAATAATATATATAATAAAAAAAAAAAAAAAAAAAACGGCAAGAACAGTCATACTTACACGGCTGTCTGCAGCGACAATGGCTACCAGGCCTAAGAGGAAAAGGACCTGAAAAATTACAAACCAGAATTAGAATGTAAAAATAATCGAAAAAGAAGATTAATTTTGCACTTTTACATATTTAGAATATGATTATGTACATATATGACAATGAAGATAACACCGATGTAAGTACTTAAGATAATGTCACGCTGAACAAAAAGGACTTGCGAATGATTTACCTTAGTGTTCATGTTGACTGCAGTTGCTTTAGCGAGGAACTGATGCAGGTCGCTCAGCCACTGACCACTATATACCACGCCGGCGACCCAACCGTTTTTGAAGGTCATCGAGGGACAAGTTTTTCAGAATTATTTCACGCAGGGCGGGTCTGACCCCGTGTAGTTCAGTAGCGTAGGTCATTGCAGTGATTATTGTATAGCTTTGTATCATACATATTGTGCATGGTTCCACTATTAGCGGGAGCTTTTGATATATGAACTGTATATTGGTAGATGTTATTCTTGAATAATAGTAATTATACTGTAGTGTCGTGTTCCAGGCGGCGTATAGGGAGGAATACTATGATCCTTCACTCTAATGCAGCGCATTATCTACAGTATTATAACTGGACATATCTATGCCTTCCAGATCTGAGGTATGAAAAAAAGAAAAAAAAAAAAAAATCAGCTCCTCACACGGTCGCTAAAAAAAGGAAAAATGTCACGGGATGAGCTGTCAGGGAGACACGAAATTTTAAAAAGGTTTATGTTAACTGCTTTTTAAGAGTATTTACTGTGGATGTAATCGATTTTTCTGGTATGAATTACGTGTTTTGTTTAATCTATTTTAAGTTTCTCCTATTTCAAGGACAGCTTTCTTTTATACATTTTTTTTTTTTTTTTTCTTTTTACTTTCTGGCATTTGGTTATGAAAAAAGGGACTGTACAACACAACAAAACGAAATGTGAATAGCTCCGTCAAGAACACTACCATATTATTACATAAGAAATCAAGGAACTCTGGCGATGCCATCCCGCTGTTACATCTTTATATAAAGTTAACTTGGAATATTACAAAATGTGTAGTATTTTATTACGGTATGGGTATATTCAATATATTCAATTAATTTAGTTTAAGTCCTACGGTTACACTTTAAATAATATTACTCCTATTGCTACCGCAGTAACTATTTTCAGTTGGTTCTAATTTTATAAATTTGATCGACTCTGTATGCTTATAATACACATAAACACTCAGATTTTAAACCTCCGATAGCTTATCATAAGCAAATGCTATTTTATGTATCCATGCATATATATATGTATAAGGAAAGAAACCCAGTGCATATGAAGAGGATTTTGTAAAAATGACCATTCTTTCAACTTTTCAGTTAAAAGTAAATTAGAAGGGTTATTCTCACGAATCAAATAAAGGTAGAGTTGTCCTCAGATATACTTTCTTATATTGCTTACATGTTAGCACGCCCCAACCCCAAGTACAGGTTTACAAGGATTTAATATAATTTAAAATTATGTCATGTCTCCAACATCTTGACTTTGATATTAGGAAACTTTACCAACGAAGCAGTGCCTTTAAACACAACGTGCTAATCTTAATTTTAGAATGTTTATTCATACAATATACAGCAAAAGCAAGCAGGTGCATGACGGAAAAACCAGCCCTTTCTTGAAACTTTGCCTCCTACATTTTGTTTTTCCTTTTAACTACTTTACTAGTCATTTTTATTACTGTCAGACCGTCCCACTTCCGTCCATTTGTCATCATATATATATATACATACATACATATATATATATATATATATATATATATATATATATATATATATATATATATATTTACACGCAAACATATACATATAAACATGCATACTTTCACAAACAGACGCACGTGCACAGATACACATGCACACACACACACATATATGTGTGCGTATGTGTGTGGACATACACACAAACATCATATATATGTTTATATGTATATATATATTATTGTATGTGGTTGTGCGCGTGCATGTTTGTGAGTGGGTAATTCCATATATATCGGTCTATAATCGTGTTACTCTTCGATAATTAGGAAAGCACTTATACTTAAAAAAATAAATAAATAAATAAATAGAAATAAAAGGACAAATAATTTACAATGACTTAATAATGGATTTATTGTAATAAACACGCCAGTGATTAGTTATGGATTCTCTTTCAACTGCAATATTACATTAGGCGAAAAGCTATTATAAAATTTTATTTTGATTCATTGGACTCGTAGGAGTCAGGATAACGAGCCTCGCCCTCGTAGTTGACCTCAGCCACGTAGCCGGAGTCGCCGTCCACGAAGTACTTGACGGTCTGCAGGCGGCCGTCGGGGAGCTGCACGTAGTAGGATCCCTGTGTGTGGTCGCCGTCACGGGCCTCCTGGTGGCCGAAGTCGTTGCCGGAGTCGTCATGGTTGACGGCCCAGTTGAAGTCGTACTTGGCTTCACCTGACTCGAAGGACTCGAAGGATTCCTGAGAGAAATAATGTTGATGATTTATGTTCTATATTCTCATAACTTTGTGGAATACTATTGTTTATGCAACTGTCATATAAACATTAGCAATATTCAGAGACCGGCCTTGATAATGTCTTTTCATCAAACAATACATTGAAATAAGTCATGCTTACCCGGCTGTCTGCGGCGACAATGGCTGCCAGACCAAGGAAGAAAAGGACCTGCAAATTCACAAACCAGATTTAGAGGGAGACGTTTAAATTCTGTACATGATTTTTCAAGTGAACTCATGCGTAGGGATAAATCTTATATGGTTCTTTACCTTAGCGTTCATGTTTGCTGTTGTGGCTTCGGATGAAACTGATACAAGTCATTCTGGCGCTGATCAATATATACCATGCCGCTGACCCAACCGCGTGCGAAGGTCATTGAGGGACAACTTTTTCGGAGTTATTACATGCAGCGTGGGGCTGACCCGGCGTAGTTAAGCATGGGAGTTCATAGGAGTAATCGTGTTATGAATGTGTGGCTTTGAATTGACATGTTTCTGGAAGCAATAAAAAAAATGTAAAATATGTAAGTATAGGGAAAAGATGAGGGGTATTAAGAAATTAATTTTCGAGATAGATTATAGAATAAAAGAGCGTTTTATTCTACTTCATTTCATGCCTAGATACTTTGGAATATGATAAGAATGGTGTTTTTTTTTGTTTTTTTTTGTTTGTTACTTATTGGGAAGAAACTATTTAACGGGATAGGGTTTAGGGTTAACAGTTATTTTAAAACGACTTGCGAAGATAAAATATGAAATGCACTATCTATTGTAGCTATGGATAGTTAAGACACCTTAACCAAATCAAAATAGTTAAATGGTGTCATATCCATTGAAATAATAAAATACACACTCTGAACAAAGGGCACAACGGCAACAATGGTTCTCAGATCCAACAGAACCATGACTTGCAATTTTGAATACCCTTTTTTTTTCCTCTATGATATTGTTTCATTTTTGGGAAGACATTCTTTGCTGAATATATTTTTATTTTAATGGTATCCAAGCATATGTTCACGTTCAATTTAGTTGTTCAAAGTTCTGCTGCAGGTCGGCCTTCTCTTGATCAATGCATAGTAACGTAACCCAGTTGAAGGTCAAAGTGGTACAACTTTTTCCGCATTATTACAGGGAGGGGCTCACCAGGACACACGCATCCAGGTAAACGCACGCACGCACGCATACACATAAACACAGAAACAGATGCACACACACGTGTGTTTATAGATGTATGTGTGTGAGTCTGCGTGTGTGCTTATGTTTGTATGAGTGTGTATGTATGTGTGTGTGTGTGCGCATGCGAGCGCGCATGCGTTTGTGTTACATATATACCAGCATCTCTCTCTGTATATATACATATATGTGTGTATATGTGCATTTATACTTATTACTATCTATTTGTCTATCTGTATCTATATCTCTCGATATATATATATACATATGGATGGAAAAAAAGGGCAGAGAATGAGAAAGTAGCATAGAATCCACAAGATGCACCGCGTGATACTGTTTGATATATTTCAGTGCAGTTATTGTGCCCCTACTGAATATTTGAATATACATTTCTTTAGTTTATCTTACTCTTTTTAGCTAATTTTTAATTCCTATATATTTTTTGTTACCAGCATGACCTGTTTTCTATCATAATTAAATTCAAATTTAACAGGACGTATAGACAAAATCTAAACATTGTACATAAATTACCAAAATAATTCAATTTTATTTTTCTAGTCTGCCAAACGTTAATAGACTAAGCCTTAAGAAATATTAGTGCAAAAGTCAATGTCATTCTCATCAAAGGTCTTCAGAAACATACTTACGGGGGAAGGTCGAGCTCTTGGTCTTTTTAGGGTCAACACACTTTAAAGACCAAAGGATTGCGCTTAAATCCAGTTCCATCTAAATCTTGCCTGTATCGTTATCATAACATATAACCTGACAGGTCTATATCCAGGGCTATTGGAAACAATAAGCGCGGAGAGTTTTCGCAACGTATCGTTCCTTTGATCTTGAGTAACGTATGTTTTCGACTTTCAGGATGGCAGCTTCAAGTGTATTGGTTTTGTAATTATACTTTCGATAAGGTTATCTTTGACATTGTCTGTAAATCTTCTATCGTTGAAAATTACCTAAGGTGCATTTACACATCATGTTCCTAGTGTGAAGAATTGTGAAAGATTATTTTTTCTCATTTATTTTTGAGATCTACATTTGTGTCTCAAAGGCTTTTACTTTAGTGTTGTAATAATTTCGGTAAATGGTAGTTTCAGACCGAAAATGCCAAAAATGATAAACGTAAACACTAGATCTTGCGTAAGTATTGACTATTTTTTTAGGAAGTGCGTAAATGGGTTTGGTATTCATTAAACCTCACATGAATATATTTCCATTCTATGCACATTTAACCAGAAACAATGGAGTGAGTGTGTGAAAAAAATAGGCTCAGCTTGACTTTAAACATATATATATGTTTTGTGTGTGTTTGCATGCAAATTAAGAGAAAACACTGAACAACTAAAAACGTCGATTTTAGTTATATAAACTTAAACTTGTTTACATCATCTCACATGCAGCCATAACAGTTAAAAAATCAATTTCGATTCATATCACACATATACATTAGGCAACTACGAGCCTTGCCCTCGTAGTTGCCTTCAGCCATGATGTCGAGAAGTTGCAAATAGTAAGGTCTCCATTGCGGGCTTCCTGGTGGCCAAAGTCGTTGCCTAGGGCGTTATGTCTGACAGTCCAGTTAAAGTCATATTTGGCCTGATGGCAACCGCTCTTTCTCTTGCAAAATTATACGTCCCTGCTTGTATACCCAACAGTCTGGAAGGCATCTAGGGACGGGTTATCCGCAATTACTACACCGAGGGCTATGTTGAGAAACCATTGTGCTTGCGAAGTGTTAACTTGCATGTAGGCTAAATACCCCATCCGTCTTCTTAAACTATGTTCAACACTCTCCAGATAAAGTGACGTGTAAATACGAAACAAGAGAGTGAAAGATCATCTACCGACCACTGACAACAGAGAAACTAACCTTGCAGAGATACGTTGCAGTTTCGGATGTTTATCCCATTCGCGAGGTGGAAAATGAATAAAAAATGGGGAAAATGCTATGCTCATTTTTGTTTTTGTTTTTTTTATGTGTGAAATGTCTCTACACATAGATGGCTCTAAATAGTTTAGTTTAGTTTAGGAAATATTTTCTACGTTTTCTTCAGGAAATCGTCTACGTATAGTAACATTAATGCAGATACCATGGCTAAAGCACCTTAATGTTGAACACTTTAGCATGTCTCATGAAAATGATGGTAATGGTGATGTGAATACCAATAATTATGATAATAATAATAACATTAATAATGGTAATAATAATAATAATGATAACAAAATTAATAATAATAATAATAATAACAATGATAATTATAACAATTATCATTATTATCATCATCATCATCATTGTTATTATTATTATTGTTATTATTATTTTCATCATCATCACTCCAATTAGTATGATTATCATTATTATTATAATTTTAATTAAGTATATATAAGTATATATATATGATATATATTTGTGTGTGTGTGTGTATATAATATATATATATATATATATATATGTATATATATATACACACACACACATATGTGTATATATATATTTAACCCAATGCCGCCGGGTATGACGTGTACGTACGTGCTATGCCCACCGTGAGTACTTGTTTGATTGTTTTTACGCATAGATGGCAACAATTGTACTAAATCACCAATGAGCCAACTACGAGCACCGCCCGTCTCGCCCGTTTACCCGTTTCTTTGATTTACGAAATATTTTACGTTATCTTATTTTGCTGTTACTAATGTTAAAAAACATTATGATAATTATAATGTTTATGATAAAACTAACACTTTCGATTTTTATAGCACTAGTGAAAAATACGTTTTTCCCGCCATTTTAAATCAGGCGCTAACAGAGCCATCTATCGGTAGACATTTCACGAAAAACATAGAAAGTGGGCACAGCATTTCCCCCAGTTTTTGTTCATTTTCCCCGGCGGCATTGGGATATATATATATATATATATATATATATATATATATATATATATATATACATATATACATATATACATATATATATATATATACATATGTATATATATATACATACATATGTATATATATATATATATATATATATATATATATATATATATATATATACATGTATATATATACATACATATATATATATATTTATATATATATATATATATATATATATATATATATATATATATATATATATATATACATATATATATATACAAACATTTTTTAAAATTAATATATATATATAATATATATATATATATATATATATATATATATATAAATATATATATATATATATATATATATATATATAAATGTATATATATACTTATATATATATGAATATATGTTTATATATATAAATTTATATATTTATGTATATATATATATATGCACTAATATATATACATATATAAGTGAACATTTATATAGATGTATGTATATATGTATATATATGCATACATGTATATTTGCATACACACACACGCACAAACACACACACTTAACCCGATGTTACACTAATGCACCGGAGGCTTGCAGGCCAAGTAAGACATAAGCTGTATCTAATTTTCAGCACAATGACAAAGGAAAAACCTGCAAATCCTCTGATGAAGGGACTAGCAGAAGTTTATAGTTACATACTTTAACGTTTTACATTGCATTTAATCTGAACTCAAAATGTTTCAAGGTAAATTTAATCAGATAATAAAGCAAAGAAACTCTAACTACTGGCTATGCACCTCCCCCCCTCCCCCTAAGAAAAAGAAAGGAAGAAAAAAAAACGTAGATCTATGAAATAATCCATATAGACATGCCAACAAACATGACTATATTTATGATTCGCAACGTGAAACATTTGAATGAGATTTGCTTCCCTCACTAAGGATTCAATTCTTATCAACACTTACTTCTCGTGTGAACAATCAGTCATTGTAAAGACCAAAGATTACAATACTGGCATAAGAACTGTAGGTTTCATTTAATCGTACCCTTCATTGAATAGGTATTTCACAATAAATAATATTACGGAATTAGTGACCTATTCTGAAATCAGTTTCACATTTAGGATTTGTCCCAGTTACGACTTATTAATAATTAGGTACATTCATCGTTATCATTTGGATGCTCACTATTACTTATAAAAAAACATACATCCCACAACTTCATGCACTCACGCACACAGGCAAACACACACCTATAATCAAGAACGCACACTCCCTTGCACACACATAAGGACACACAGAACATAAAAAAATCATTACTATAAGACACACACACACACACACACACAAATATATATATATATATATATACATATATATATATATAAGTCTATACATACATGCAATACATATACATAAATATGTATATGTAAATATCTATCTATCCATATATATATATATATATATATGTGTGTGTGTGTGTGTGTGTGTGTGTGTGTGTGTGTGTGTGTGTATAAACATACATACACACATTACACACACACTCACACACACAGATATATATATATATATATATATATATGTTCGTATATACGCATATGTATAGTATATATATATATATATATATATGTATATATATGTATATATATATGCATATGTACACACACGTATATATATATATATATATATATATATATATATATATATATATATATATATATATATATATATATATATATTTAAATTTCCATATACACGAAGCACTAGTCAGAGAAGTGGACACACATGTATATAGTTGAATAGATGCTGTGTATGTATATTTAACTGTGTATATGTGTGCATGGATCTTTGTATGCATATGAACCTCTCTACTCATTTGCTTTTAATGAAGATCTAGCTGTATTTTGGTGCCTTTTTCATATACTAAAAAAAGAAAAAAATAAAAAAAAATAATCATACTTTATTCACAAGATAACAAACTTATTTACATATTTAAAAAAAAAAAAAAAAACATATCTCTGTCGTTGGGTCATTTCAAAAGCAGTTTTATGTCAAAGAATCTATTTTGATTCATTTGACTCGTATGTATCGGGGTAACGAGCCTTGCCATCGTAGTTCACTTCAGCCACGTATCCGTTGTCGCCGTCCACGACGTACCTGACGGTCTGCAGGCGGCCGTCGGGGAGCTGCACGTAGTAGGATCCTTGTGTGTGGTCGCCGTCACGGGCCTCCTGGTGGCCGAAATCGTTACGAGAGTCGTCATGTTTGACAGCCCAGTTGAAGTCGTATTTGGCCTCACCTGTACATATTCTTCAGTGTAATTTAAGGAATATTATATGAAAAGACTGGAACAAGAGCTTACCCGGCTGTCTGTGGCAACAACGGCTGCTAGGCAGAGGAGGACGAAGACCTGTGGATGAGACATTCTTTAGTTTAAATAAATTAAAGATACACGAACACACGCGCTCGCAATTTGTATGATGTATATGTGTGTGAGATTGTGTGCATATCATATTTTATAGAAATATACATGTACATGATAATATAGCTTTAAAGGTGAAAATGACATTCAGTATTTTTCATTTCTATCAACACCTTTCAGTAATTACCTTGGTGTTCATGCTGAATGTTGTACTTCGGGAGAGGAAGTGATACCGGCTTCTCTGACGCTGATCATTATAGACAGCCAACGTAACCGAGGCTGAAGGTCACCGACGGACAACTTTTTAGAAGTTATTACATCAACAGCTAGTCATGCTATGAATGTGTGCTTTTCTTGGATAATTTTGCAAGGAGCTAACTTTCTACAAATATTCAAGTGATAAGGTAAATATGAGATACACTATAACTTTGTGTATTCAGGGGGGGGGGGGGGGCTTCAGTTAACACCTTGCAAATTTTGGTTGAATTCAAACCACAATTTTCAAAAGGTGGAAGAAAGAATAAATACGCAAACGCAGGCAAACAAATACACGGAGAAGCACGTTTTTGTAACTGTGCACATTAACCTTTTCTGGATAAGAAAAGCAAATCATAATATTAATACCAACAGTAAAGATATTAATCATGGTGATATCAATGATGATATCAAAACTAAAACTAAGGCTATACGATGTTGATGGTTATGATAATAAAAAGATAATCATAATGAATATAATCAAAGTAATGGGAGATTTGGGTGAAAATAACAGTTCACTATGCTGGTATTATATAATTCAAAAGTACATTATTTTTGGTGGCGTGAGAATCAATTATTACAGCAGTTGTAAATAATCCAGAATTGAAATAAATTATATATATATATATATATATATATATATATATATATATATATTGTTGAACGTCAGCTTTGCAAAGAACATTCCTAAGTTATATCATTGCAGTATTTTTTGCATAGTGAAAATTATTTAAATAATAGGGAGAGATTTTTCTTAAGTTGAGTTCTAGCCCAAACATTTATTCTACAACGTTGAAAAGAAAGTATTCACGTGCTAGTTATAGTACTCTTCATAATTTGGAAAACTTGTACATGGGTAATAATAATGAACCAGTCAAAATTAAACTGATAGTCAATTTATGATTTATTTATTCACTTATTTTTGTATTTTATATATACTTCAAATATCTGTCAAGCTATAGCGTACTTGCCTTATAGCATAATATTACAGTGTAGTATTTCAATGCGGCGAAGAGAATAAAACATAATTAGCATTTTAATAAATCAGATGAATAACGAGCGGATAGTCTACTGATTTTTGAAGTGTGTTGCCCCTAAACCTAAATGAACAAAAAAAAAAAAAAAAAAAAAAAAAGAATATGGCCTTTAGCAACATAGCTAATTCGATAAAGAAAATACCTTTTCATATTAGGTATACCGCTTGCTTATTCCACACAGATGCACAAAATAAACAGGACTACAATTTGAGATCATTTATTATTTTTGATGAGATATTAGATATTATAGATTATATTAAAATGATTAAAATACACAATTGTGATCACACAGACATATATTTCTATATGCATATATACGTGTATATACATATATGTGTGTGTTTGTGTGCGTGTGTATGTTTGCATGTGCACATCTAACTTGTGCTTGTGCGTGTATGTAAAAAGTCATATTGTCCAAAGCTTTGCAAAGAAAATACAATCCTGGGCAGGGCAGACCCGCGCTGATGTAATAACCTTGAGAGAGGTTACATTGGTGGGATGGTATATAATGATCGGCATCTGAGATGCCGGTATCACTTCTCAAGTATTATATTCAGCATGAACACCAAGGTATCTATTTACAGTTTAAGGGTATTTAAGTTGAAGATATAAACATACTGTTGATATGAACAGTAAGCACCATTATAGTAATGATTCATTCACAGAGTACCTATCTACACACACATATATTCATGCACGTAAAGGTAACTTCAGCTGAATTAGGCATCTTTTATTTACAGGTCCTTCTCCTCATCTGCCTCGCAGCCGTTGTAACTGCCGACAGCAGGGTAAATACTTGATGTATATTTTTGTAAAATGTATAATTGTTTGTTGTAGATATTTTAGAACAATTCCCATTTCTATTCTAATTCCAGGAATCATTCGAATCCTACGAGTCAGGTGAGGCCAAATACGACTTCAACTGGGCTGTCAATCATGACGACTCTGGCAACGACTTCGGGCACCAGGAGGCACGTGACGGCGACCACACACAGGGGTCCTACTACGTGCAGCTTCCCGACGGCCGCCTGCAGACCGTCAAGTACTTCGTGGACGGCGACTCCGGCTATGTGGCCGAAGTCAGCTACGAGGGCGAGGCTCGTTACCCCGATTCATACGAGTCAAATGAATCGAAATAGACTCTTTGACTTTTAAAACCGCATGTGAAATGACCCAATGGATGAAAAAGCATATCTTATATAGAGATTCTTGTAAATAAGTTTTTATTTATGTATGATTAATAAAATCATATCAGACCTTCAACTGATTTTCCTTCATCCTTTCTATACAAATAGCTTCGAAAAGTTATAACGACGAAGTGAATGTATGTAATGTATATGTTATATGTGTATATAATATGTATAATGTTTCACATATTCATATAACATACAGGCACATATCTTTATACGTATATGTATACATCAATATTCATTCTACTTTACATGTCTATGTATACATTTATATATGCACACAAACACACATATGTATATATATATATATATATATATATATATATATATATATATTGATATATATACTAGTGTCTGCGTGTGTACAGAAACAGAGATAAACAAACAAACGCGCACACAAATATATTTTTATATCAATCACACGCATAAGTACGCTCGCACACACACGCACATATATATGTGTGTACGACCATAGAAATATGTAAATATAGACATATATGTGGATATATATACATATATATATATTTAGAGATAGATAAAGAGATAGGTAAAACTACACAGACATACACACACACACGCATATATATATATGCATATGCATATATACATATATACATATATGTGTATGTGCAAGTGTATATATGCATATACATATATGTTTGTGTGTATATTCATTATATGTAAATGTAGGCATCTTTGGACATATATATATAGTTATCGATAGATAGCTAGATAGGCAAAACTACACGAGAAAACACACAAACACACACACACACATATATATATATATGGACACACACACATACACACTTATATACATATGTATACATATATATGTAAAAGTATATATATATCCCCTTGGGACCCAACATACAATGAGATTCTAGCCATCTAAATTGTATTATACCTCTCTATCTATTCATATCAATCTGTCTAGCTTCCTACATGAGGTCACCATATATACATATGTGTGTATGTATATATAAACATTTATAATCCACACACACACAGATTTATATATATGTATATATATATTTGTGTGTGTGTGAGAGAGAGAGCATATATATACATCTATATATAATATATATATATATATATATATATATATATATATATATATATATATGTGTGTGTGTGTACACGCGCACACACACACATACGCACACAAACACGCGTATCAATATTGGCTGGAGTGTTTACGTCTGTAAACGTTTCTTTCAATAGATATATGTAAATATATACCTACACATACACACATATATGTACATATATATTCATACATACATATATATTTTTTATATAAATATATATATACATATCTATCTATATATAAGCACCTATCTATCTATTTACCTATCTATCTACACACACACACACACACACGTGTTCGTATCAATATAAAGGAACAAACTCATATAGACAAAGCTGGGGTGTGTGTTATATGTATGTGTGTGTTTGTGCCTATGTGTGTGCATTGTTTATATTCACTTCATCATTATTTCTTTTCAAAACGATGTCGATAAAAAGGCAGAAGAAATGCTATTTGAACCTTTGATATAATTTTATTAATCCTACATTTATATACAAGAATCTTTAAATAAGAGGCTATTATTGCCTCTGGGCCATTTCACATGCGGTTTTAAAGTGCAATAATCTATTTTGATTCATTTGACTCGTACGAATCGGGGTAACGAGCCTCGCCATCGTAGCTGACTTCAGCCACGTATCCGTCGTCGCCGTCCACGACGTACCTGACGGTCTGCAGGCGGCCGTCGGGGAGCTGCACGTAGTAGGATCCCTGTGTGTGGTCGCCGTCACGGGCCTCCTGGTGGCCGAAGTCGTTGCCAGAGTCGTCATGTTTGACAGCCCAGTTGAAGTCGTACTTGGCCTCACCTGACTCGTAGGACTCGAAGGATTCCTGGAATTACAACAGTAGTAAGAATCGTTCCATAATAACTACAACAAGTATACGTCCCTAAGTACAATTCAAAATACATTACATGAAAATATGCAATAAGTGTTTACCAGGCTGTCGGCAGCAACAATAGCTGCGAGGCAGATGAGGAGAAGGACCTGTAAGTGAAAGATATCTAATTCAAATGAAGTTACCTTTATGTACATAATATATATGTGATATATAAGTAGGCACTCAGTAAATGCATTTTTACTTAACGTTGGCAACTATTAATATCATTAGTATATCGATGTATGTAAATATATCTGAAACTCAAGGGCAGTATAACAGTAAATATCTACCTTGGTGTTCATGTTGTACTTAGAGTACTTCAGAAGTGATACAAGTATATCTGGCGCTCATCATTATATACCATCGCACCAACGTAACCCAGGCTGAAGGTCACTGAGGGACAACTTTTTAGAAGTTATTACATCAGGGCGGGTTTGCCATTCCCAGGATTGTACTTTCGTTGCTTAGATTTGAACAAGATTACTTTCTATTTACACACAAAAGCACACACATGAAAAATGTGTTAAATGTATATCTGAGATGCCTACATGCACACACAGACACACACACATATGAGTGATTATGTGCATGTACGTATGTATATGTTTATAAATATATACGTGTGTGTGTACATATACATATATGCATATATACATATATGTATATACATATATATATATATTTCTATTTACATATACGTATACATACACACGCAAACATAGACACACGCACGTGTATGTGTGTGTGTATACAAAAACTCGGTGAATATATATATACATATATATGAATGTATATATGTATATATATACATATGCACACACTACCACATACATAGACACACACATTTATATATATTTAGTATGTATATATGCATGTGTGTGTGTATGTGTGTGTTTGTGTATGTGTCTTTGTACATACATATATGCATGCAGAAATACTCACACATACATATAGATATATATGTGCACGCATAGCTGAAATATAGTTGTTACTAAATATATTTTTACTTGTTCGCTCTTCAAGGGTCAACAAACTACAAATATCAAAGATATTATGCACTCGTTTATTTTGTTTCATCTGAAGCATTTAAATAAATATGTCATATTCTATCCCTTGCACTGCACAATTGTTCATCATTTACTCCACTTCTGTACAGTCTTTAACTTTTCGCAAGCAACATGAAAGAAAAAAAAAAATCTATTCATCTAGCGGAATATCATTCATAGTTGCCATAATAATTTATTCCTACGCTTCCAAGGAATATACCTGCTATAAAAAATAATCGTTTAAACCAGCATTGTACTCCTTCGGTTTGTTATTACTTTCATTATAGTTATCATCTTATCATCATAACCATCAAGAACAGCAACTAGCATTATATTTTACTTTGAGAACATTGTTGCTGTCAGTATGGTTACTGTCATTATCACTATCTATCTATCGTTTCTATTATTAATATGATACTTATCATTAATTATAATCAACATGGTGACAGATATAGGCTTCTTCTGTGTTCCTACTGTTACATATCCAGTCTCCTTTTCACCTTTTCAAAATGTCTGTGGTCCGTCTTTCATAAGTGAAAAATGGAGTTCCTTCCTCATTGAGAGAGAAGAATTGTACATATTTATAGTGTATTTCATATTTACCTTTTTCTTGAATATTTGTAGAAAGGCAACTCCGTGCAAAGTTAAGCAAAGTATGCAGATATATAAGAGTGCCATATGAAGACAGACCCGCCATTGATGTAATAACTTCTAAAAAGTTGTCCGTCGGTGACCTTCAGCCTCGGTTACGTTGGTGCGATGGTATATAATGATCAGCGTCAGAGATGCCGGTATCACTTCCTCTTCTGAAGTACCATATTCAGCATGAACACCAAGGTAAATACTGAGAGGTGTTGATATGAATGCAGTAATATACTGGATATTATTTGCATTTTCAAACTAATATTCCCAGTACACATCTTTGCTCTATATATATATATATATATATATATATATATATATATATATATATATATATATATATATAAACAATGTTTATATTATTTCGTATTTATCTGAACTAAAAAAAATGTTTTATCAACAGGTCGTCGTCCTCCTCTGTCTGGTAGCCGCTGTTGCTGCTGACAGCCTGGTAAACACTTCATATATTTTTTTTCATATAATGTTCCTGAAATTATGCTGAACCATATGTGCATTTTTCTGCAGTTACTATAGATTCATTTATATTATTGGTCTTCAAGGAGTCATTTGAGTCCTACGAGTCAGGTGAAGCGAAATACGACTTCAACTGGGCTGTCAAACACGATGACTCTGGAAACGACTTCGGGCACCAGGAGGCCCGTGACGGCGACCACACTCAGGGATCCTACTACGTGCAGCTCCCCGACGGCCGACTGCAAACCGTCAGGTACGTCGTGGACGGCGACGACGGATACGTGGCTGAAGTCAGCTACGATGGCGAGGCTCGTTACCCCGATTCATACGAGTCCAATGAATCAAAATAGATTATTTGACTGTTATAACTGCACGTGAAACCCAACGATGTGTGTGTGTGTGTGTGTGTGTGTGTGTGTGTGTGTGTGTGTGTGTGTGTGTGTGTGTGTGTGTGTGTGTGTGTGTGTGTGTGTGTGTGTGTGTGTGTGTGTGTGTGTGTGTGTGTGTGTGTGTGTGTGTGTGTGTGTGTGTGTGTGTGTGTGTGTGTGTGTGTGTGTGTGTGTGTGTGTGTGTGTGTGTGTGTGTGTGTGTGTGTGTGTGTGTGTGTGTGTGTGTGTGTGTGTGTGTGTGTGTGTGTGTGTGTGTGTGTGTGTGTGTGTGTGTGTGTGTGTGTGTGTGTGTGTGTGTGTGTGTGTGTGTGTGTGTGTGTGTGTGTGTGTGTGTGTGTGTGTGTGTGTGTGTGTGTGTGTGTGTGTGTGTGTGTGTGTGTGTGTGTGTGTGTGTGTGTGTGTGTGTGTGTGTGTGTGTGTGTGTGTGTGTGTGTGTGTGTGTGTGTGTGTGTGTGTGTGTGTGTGTGTGTGTGTGTGTGTGTGTGTGTGTGTGTGTGTGTGTGTGTGTGTGTGTGTGTGTGTGTGTGTGTGTGTGTGTGTGTGTGTGTGTGTGTGTGTGTGTGTGTGTGTGTGTGTGTGTGTGTGTGTGTGTGTGTGTGTGTGTGTGTGTGTGTGTGTGTGTGTGTGTGTGTGTGTGTGTGTGTGTGTGTGTGTGTGTGTGTGTGTGTGTGTGTGTGTGTGTGTGTGTGTGTGTGTGTGTGTGTGTGTGTGTGTGTGTGTGTGTGTGTGTGTGTGTGTGTGTGTGTGTGTGTGTGTGTGTGTGTGTGTGTGTGTGTGTGTGTGTGTGTGTGTGTGTGTGTGTGTGTGTGTGTGTGTGTGTGTGTGTGTGTGTGTGTGTGTGTGTGTGTGTGTGTGTGTGTGTGTGTGTGTGTGTGTGTGTGTGTGTGTGTGTGTGTGTGTGTGTGTGTGTGTGTGTGTGTGTGTGTGTGTGTGTGTGTGTGTGTGTGTGTGTGTGTGTGTGTGTGTGTGTGTGTGTGTGTGTGTGTGTGTGTGTGTGTGTGTGTGTGTGTGTGTGTGTGTGTGTGTGTGTGTGTGTGTGTGTGTGTGTGTGTGTGTGTGTGTGTGTGTGTGTGTGTGTGTGTGTGTGTGTGTGTGTGTGTGTGTGTGTGTGTGTGTG